GATAAGCTTGTGGTACAAAGTGATGTAATGATTTATGAATATAATATGGGATAATTAAGCTAGTGGACACATCCAGAAGCTCAGCTCTTATTCGAAGTACTTGGGATAATACCCAGTGCCCTAAAGATAATAATCATTCTCTCTACTCTTGTTTTTTGTGGTATGAATGAGTCGAGAGCCTTTGAAAGGCTTTGAAAGGGCTCTGCCACTGAAGTGTCCCTCTCTTCTATAAAAATTTAAGAAAAGGTGTTCAGTTTAGCCTTGAATTCATGATCCTTCCACCTTACCTTCCAGAAGACCTGGGGATTACAGGCATGAGACCTTAGGTTTTCATTAGAGGAATGGCAAAGAATTTGATGCCATCTTTAGTAAATCAAGAGTGGAAAGTTCTAGAAAGCCGTCTTGAGAAACCACAAAGCATTTACATACACAGAAATTTCACCATGCTTAGTCATCAGCAGTTTGTGCGTGTAGCAATTTTCTTAGAAAACAGGGCGTAATTAAACACAGTGTGCAGCATTTTGACATTTAATGGTGATGATTATAAAAATTCTTCCCAGTTTTACAGCGTCTTTGATTTGTATGTGTATTTTATGACCATCATTTTGAGTTGTACAGATCATGTACTGTCTTTTTATGGCATACAACTATGATCTTAGGAGTGCTAAGAATAGTTTATTAATGCCCGGGGCATCGTTGAAGCCTACCTAATACCTTTGATTTACTAAAGTCACAAAAGTTATGTTAGCTTGTTTTATGGATATGACTTTAGCCATATGGTAAAGCACACTTGGTACAGGTGTTCTTCATATCTGGTCTGCTGACATCTAAGAAATCCAACTCTGGGGTCACAGAGAAAAGGAGCAAAAACCCTAATAAAACCCACATGCTAACCATTAACATTCATTTACCAAAGCTTGCTTAAACTCTTGTACTCTTAAAGCTAATTTCATCCAATTGCCTTTTAATTATAGTCCCTTGCTTGGAGTTGCAAATATAATGGGTTTTTAATGTAACTTGCACTGTTCTGTGTCCAACGCAGGATGTAATCATGCAGTTTATTGAGTCAGAGCCAGTGCATGGGGTCATCTCTACACAAGTGCACATGGATGTCTGCACATGCATACCCCCGCAGGACAGAGCAATGTAGAAACCTGACAAGCTGGGTATGGTGGTATATAGTGAGATCCAGGCCAGGCAGGTTAGAGCAAGATCCAGTCTCAAAAACTCTCCTTGGCGAAGTGGAGCAGTGTAGATGGTTCATGTGCAAAACTTACTCCTTCAAAAAAAAAAAAAGATTATTTATGTGTATATTTATGTGCATATTTGCACAGGTGCTCAATGAAGCCAATAGGTGTTGAACCACCTGGAAATGGAGTTATAGGCAGTTTTAAACTGCCTGATGTGGGTGTTGAGCAAAGATTCTGAGTCCTCTGCAGAGCAGTATCAGCTTTTGCCTATAGGTGGGAGGAATTAATAGTAAAAACAGCAGCAGACAAGCAGTGGTAGCACACACCTTTGATCTCAGCACTCAGGAGGCAGAGGCAGGATGATCTCTGAGTTCAAGGGCAGTCTGGTTTACAGAATTCAACAACAGTGCTACACAGAGAAACCCTGTCCCCCCCAAACAAAAAGTAAACAACAAAAAACTAACAAGAAAAAAAAAAATAAGTGAAATTCTATAAAATTAAAGAGCTTGTCCACAGCTAAGAAAACAACCAACAATCCCAGCAGCCTGTAATCCCAGCACTTGGGAGGAGGCAATCTTTGTTTCCAGGCCAGCCAAGGATACAGAGAAACCCTGTCTGGGGTGGGGGTGGGGAAGAAAAAAAAAAGGACATAGAAATGCAAAAATGCAAATTATAACCACAGGGAAGCCATCCTACTTCTGTAATCACAACATTCCATTCTGGGACTGAGAAGGGGGGATTGCTGAGAATTTCAAGCCTGGCTGGACTATACAATGCTTCCAGGCAAGTCCCATAATATGCAAATAAAGTAAAATTAAATAACAAAGATGACTCACACCTGTAATCACTAAACATGGAGTTTAGACCCATGGCTACTGAAATTCGTTTGGGTTTCATTAGGGCTACGACAGCCTGTTTCAAAAGAAAATCATAGTGCTCTTGCTTCATACAAGGGAGGATGGCTTTTTGAAATTTATTTTTTAGTTTATTTTATGCATGTTTTGCCTGCATGTGAACCATGTGTGTGCCTGTGCCCTCGTATGTCACAAAAGAATGTTGGATTCCTGGAACTAAACTCATGGGTGGTTCACAACCATCCATGTTCTTGGACCAAATATGGGTGCTCTACAAGATCAAGTATTTTATTAATTTTTGAGCCATGAAGGTGATGGGAAGCAAGTATAGAAAAACAAACCCTTCTGCTGGAGCGGTGGTAGTACATGCCTTGCTTTAATCCTAGCACTTGGGAGGCAGAGGCTGGCAGATCTCTGAGTTTGAGGCCAGCCTGGTCTAGAGAGTGAGTTCCGGTACAGCCATGACTGCAGAGCCAGGGCCTGAGCCTGAGCCCAAACCCACCCCCTCAAAAGAGAGGGGACCCTTTGAAACTGTGAGGAATGTAGCGGAATTGCTTGGAAAATAGCTTGGAGGGTCCTTAAACAAAAAGCAAAAACTAAGCAGGACTACCATGTAACCCAGCCATGCCATTCTTATATCTAGACTCCTTTATTGTTCACAATAGCCATATAGAAGCAACACACACTAGTATATTGCTCATATAAACAAACAAACAAAACCAGGCAGTGGTAGTGAACACCTTAAGTCCTAACACTTGGGAGGCAGAGACAGGCAGATCTCTGTGAGGCCAGCCTGGTCTACACAGCGGGTTCCAGGACAGCCAGGGATACACAGAGAAAGCCATAAAAAAAGGAGGAGACAGCTTTTGTAATGTGAAAAGTCTTAGAGGACACTATATTAAAAGAAAAAAAAAAAAAAAAAAAAAGAATACCAACAGAAAAATAAGTACTTGTGTTAAAACAAAGAAAATCAAATACACTAAAATTGTTTTCTTTTTATCACCATAAGTAGGGAGGCAGAGAACAAATAGAAGCTGGCAAAATACACTTTTAGTTGTATAGCAAAGTCTAGCAATCTAATATGCCTGTGATATGTCTGTTCTTATGTAAAAAGTGAATGTGAGAAGTATATGTGTATTCATTTCTAAAATATTAACAAACGGGCTAGGAACATGTTTCAGTGGGTCCTAGCACTGGATGCTCGTCTAGAGGACCTGGGTTCAATTCCCAGCACTTACTCCAGTTCCAAGAGATCCAATGCTCCATTTTGGCCTCTGCAGACATTTCACTCACATGGTGCACAGACATACACGAGAAAGCAAAACATCATGCATTAAAAAAAAACCAAAATAATAAGATGGAGAAATAGTGCTTCCACAGCAGGTCAAATCCCAGCACCCACGTGGCAGCTCAAACTGTCTGTAACTGCAGTTTCAAGGGATCCGACACCCTCACACAGACCTAAATGCAGGCAAAATTACCAATGCAATAAAAATTAGAAAAACAAAATAAACCACAAAAAGTATTTTTAGATGTGAGCCCTTAGTATCTAGCCTGGTTGGCGTATTTTCACTTTCCTACCCTTTTGCCATTCCATCTACATCTTTGGGGAAAAAAGATCTTAAAGAAGAAATGCCAGGCTAGCCTATTCCTCCATCTGTATTTTCTAAGCCTCAAAAATCCAGGTACGAACATCTTGTAACTTTGGAGACTTTTCTCAAGAAAGGAATATCCAGCAGACTAGTGTCTATAGGAAGAGCTCATCTGATCCTTCTGAATCTCAGCTCTGAAGAGCTTGCACCCTAATCTTGGCATCTTTTGTCTGGTCTTTAATCTCCACTCTGAAACTAGAATCCATAAAGGACTGAGTCAGACACAAGGCTGTAAAAGCAAACACCAGACAGACACATGATCCATCACCTTGATTAAACTCATCGTAAGTTCTGGATGCAGGTGTTTGCTTTAGAAGAAAACTGAAATTTATGGATGGCTTTTGTGCACTAGTTTACTGATATTAACCTGGAATCTCAGGATCCACATTCCTATAAAAATGGTAAAATTGCTCTACAAATATATCCTAAATAGTTGATATTCTCTCGTAGTTCATATTAGCAACAACTTCACACTGAAGTCAAACTGCAAGCCCTGATTTTCATTATTTCTTTTTTATTTATATATTTATTTATTACAATTTATTCACTTTGCATCCCCACTGCAGCCCCATCTCTCATCTCCTCCCAGTCCTACCCACCCCTCCCTCTTCTCCCGTTATGCCCTTTCCCTAGTCCCCTGATAGGGGAGGATTTCCTCCCCTTCTATCTGACCCTGAGCAAGCCCTGATTTTTAAAGACATGTCTATTTTAAATTTTGTCATTTGTAAAAAAGAAAAAAAAAAAACATCAAGATTAATCTTCATTCCTTCTTTTTTCGAAAAGATGTACTGTAATTTCCAGGGGTATGGTAAATCTTCAAAATGCAGTGGCATTTTAACTAAACTGGATTATGGCATTATTAACAAAGCCAAATTATGGACACTAAATGGTGAGTCAGGGGTACATTTTAAGTTTGATGGCTGCTTATTTTCTGGCCAGTCTTTGATTGTTCATTTATACTACTTGTATAAACAGTTAAATCCTACAATAGAGTCAGACTTTTATTCCAGCTCCCCTTTCCTCTTTGTACATATATAACCACTTTGAATTCCTTCCCTAGCATGCACCATCTACTAAAAATAACAAAATTTTTTAAGTGGGTCAAGAGTACTGCACGTTTATGGGTTTGTATCCTCCTTAAAATTTATACATTAACTGGGCAGTGGTGTATGCCTATAATCCCAGTACTCAGGGAGGCAGAGACAGACAGATCACTGTGAATGTGAGGTCAGCCTGGTCTACTAAGTGAGTCCAGGACAGACAAGGCTACAGATAGAAACCCTGTCAAAAATAAAAGCAAAAATACATAAAAAAAAAAAAATCATATATTCAAACTTTACCACCCAGTACCTCAGAACCAGAATGTGTTCTTATCTGGTCTTTTTAGGTAATTAAGGTGAGGTCTTCAGGTTTGTTACTCAGTATAATGGAAATCTGAATAGAAAACAAAAGATGTTAGGTGACACGGGGTACAGCAGGTAAACAAGATCCTGGTGTGACCCTTTGATTTGGGACCTGTGGCTTCCTAGCCTCCATAACAAGAGAATATGTTTCTGGTGTTTGAGGCACTGTAGCGAGGAACCTCAGAAATTCAATAAAGCACTATTGCAAATCCTATCAAAATAGCTTTGACAGTTTTCCCCCAAAAGACTGGTGTATCTTTTTTTTTTCTTCAGAAATTTAACACATTTCTAGAGTTTCATATTTTTATTTTGAAACACCTGAAATCTCTAGATGGACCAACTTTAGCTTATAACTATTTACATTTAACTATATTATAGTTTGATACAATGAGGAAAACAAAAATCAAAAATATTTTAATTTAAAAATGAGTAAGCATTCATTTGTTGACTACTGCTGAAGTTATTCGTCAGGATTACCACCTCTACCATGAAGCACATCTTTAAAAGTAAATGCTAGGCAATTAGGAACTGCATAATTAAAAATCAGTGATTTTCTATGAAGTATGGAAAAAAGCCCATCACATTCAATAATGTAGCACATATATTAAAGATTATGCTTTTGAATTGACTTCATCATTGACTTTTCTGTTAGAACTACACTATAGAATACAAAGAAAAGTTCTTAAAATTGTATAATAAAGTATAAAAAAAATAGAAGTACACCACCTAGAGTTGCAAAATTATCTTAGCCATAGACTCCTTCCCTACAAATGATAATCTACAGTGCATGGATGCCCAGTGACTCTGCCATGCAGACTGCCCAGCCCCAGGACATTCTGTCTTGGTCTTCAGCATTTCTTCCCTGCCTTTGCATGGGTTAGGATGTGAATCTTCATGTTATTTGACTGAACAAACCTCTTTTGACAGTCGTCAAAGGGACACATGTAGGGCTTCTCACCCGTGTGGATGCGGACGTGCGTGCGCAAGTTGAAATCTAGCGAGAAGCGCTTCCCACACCCTTCAAAGGTGCACTGAAAAGGCTTCTCTCCAGTGTGAACCAGAAAATGTCGCCTTAGTTTCGAGCTCTCCATAAAAGCCTTTCCACACTCCGCACACACGTGCTGCCGGGGCCCGTGAACAAGCATGTGCTTCCTCAGGGCACTTTTATCCCGCAGCTTCTTCTCGCACCCGGCGTGGGGGCACTCCAGCGCGGGCAGTGCAGCACGGTATTTCCCGCCCTTTGGCTTCCCCCCAGAAAACCCAGCAAGCTGCTTATGAGCCGGTAAACCCGGAAGCTGCCTGCTGCTCCTGGGCTCAGAACACCCAAGTTCCGAGGTCGCGCCAAACTGCAGAGGCAGCTCTTGCTTGGCCTCTCTTTCCTCTTGTTTCTTCCCCTTTGTCATGTATTCCAAAGAACACTCAAGAAGGGAACTCGCTTCCAGAACATGGCGAGAAAGGTCTTGGTCAGCTTGCTCTAGGTTTTCGAAGGATTTGAAGAGTAAATCCTCTTCCAAAACGGGCTCAGAAAACTCCCCTGTCACGATGCACTCTATGTAACCATCAACAAAGTCATCTTCCTCAGCGGCGGGGCCGGACCCACTGCACACACCTTCATCCCGGATGGTGTACGTTATGTACGGAGGTTCCGCTCTTGTCTTCAGGACTTGCCTTTCCCCGTCTTGGTCTTGTTTTAGGTTCGCTTTGAGGGCTCTTCCCCCAGGGCTGTTCTGGCCACTTGACTGTGCCATTTTCTTCATCTGCTCCACTGCGTAGTCTTAGCTGCTTCCTTCTTGAAAGATGAATGTAAACCACTTTCAAGGCAGCCCTGATCGATCCAAAAAAGTCACCACTGGCAAACACCTGCCTTACATAAGAAAGAGCCTTAAGTTAAAATATATTCCAATACTAGAGCCACTGTAACAAAAGGACTTCAAGCCTGGCATGGCGGCTCTACCCTGTAATCCCAGCCTGTACTCCCAGCACTAGGGGAGGCAGACGAAGGCAGATCTCTGTGTGTTTGACACCATCCTGGTCTACAAAGCGAGCCTATGACAGCGAAGGCTACACAGAGAAACCCTGTCTCAAAAAACCAAACCAAACCAAATAAACAAGGAGTGGGGATGTCTTCAGTAAATGGTTATGGGCAGTGGGATGGCTCACCAGGAAATTGCCTACCACTCAGCAGAGTTTGATCCTTGGACAAACGTGGTAGAAAAGACGGAACTCAAGCTTGTCCTGACCTCCACCAGCAAGTCACACCTTCAAGTGCACTCGCGCACACATGCTAAAGTTATGTGCACAATGGTTCACCACCTGATCATCTCATTGATGGCCAACAAGCCTTTGACAAAATTCATTCTTCAGGATAAATCTTGGAGATTAGGATACAAGGGAACTCCTCAACATAGGCAATTTACAGCAAGCCTATACTCAAAGCAATGCCAATAAAATCAGGAACACCCGAAACACCTGTCTAGATACAAGAGCAATAAATGAATGAATGAATGAATGAATGAATCCAGTAGCCCTCTTATATACAAGTGAGAAACATACTGAGAAAGAAATCAGGGAAAAAAGAATAACCTTCGTAATAGCCACTATATATATATATATATATATACACACACACACACACACACACACACACATATACATACATACATATTACATATAAAATAATATATATATAATCTTGAGATAACCCTAACTAAGCAAGTGAAATACATATACAACAAAAACTTCAAGTCTTTGAAGAAAGAAACTGAAGAAGATATCAGAAGACAGAAAGATCTTCCATGCTCACGGATGGGTAGGCTTAACATAGCAAAAATGGCTATCTTACCAAAAGCAATCTACAGATTCAATGCAATCGCCATCAAAACGCAATTCTTTACAGACCTTGAAAGGACAATATTCAACTGCATATGTAAAAACAAAATACCTGTACAGTAAAAGAACTTCTGGAAACATCACCATTCCTGATTTTAAGCTGTACTACAAAGCAATAGTAATAAAAACTGCATGGTACTGGCATAGAAACAGAAACAAGAGCCAGGAGAGGAGGCACAGTCCTGTAATCCCAGCACCACACAGAAAGACTGTCTCAAACAAAGCAACACCAATAAAACCTGAAAAGCAAAACCAGAAACAGATCATGAAATTGAATCAAAGATCCAGATGACCCAGATATAAGTCACACACCTATGGACACAACCTAATAAAAGAGAAAGGAATAGCCTTGAATGCACTGGCACAGAGAAAATTCCTAAGCAGAACACCAATAGTGCAAGCACGAAGAGCAACAATTAGTAAATGAGACCTCATGAAACTGAAAAGCTTTTGTAAGGCAAAGGACATTTCAATAGGACAAAGCAGCAGCCTACAGAATGGAAAAAAAAAATTTGGATTTTTTTTCCCACATTGACAGAAGGCTAATATCCAAAATATATTTAAAAAAAAAATCAAGAAACCAGACATTAACAACCAAAAAATCCAATTAAAAAAATGAAGTAAGACCTAACCAGAGAATTCTCAAGAGAAGAATTTCACTCAAATAGATAAGAAACACTTAAACTACTTTGAAATGACACCTTACATGGTCAGAATGGCTAAGAGCAATAACACAAGAGACAGCTCATGCTGCCAAGGATGTGGAGCAAGGGGAACACTCCTCCATTACTGCAACTTTTAGGCTACTATGGATATCAATATGGAGGTCCCTCAGGAAATTGTGAATCTATCTATTAAGACCCAGGAATACCATTCTTGGGCATATACCCAAAGACACACTATCCTACCACAAAGACACTTGCTCAACTATGTTCACAGCAGCTTTATTAGTAAGAACACCCAAAACCTGAAAACAACGTAGATGTCCTTCAAGTGAAAAATAAAGAAAATGTGGTACATTTACACAATAGAATATTACTGTTGAAAACAAAAATAGAACAACAAAAAATTGAAACCCAGCTGTTAAAAAAAAAAAAAAAAAAGACATGTAATTTTCAGGCAAATGGACGGAACTAGAAAATAGTAACCCTGAGGCAATCCAGACCCAGAAAGACAAACATGGTATGTATTCACTTATAAGTGGGTATTAGCTGCTAGTTAGCTGTCTACAATCCAGACCCAGAGAGGCTGAGGAACAGGGATGGCTCTAGGGCGGAATGCATGGACTTCCTGGGAAGGGGAAAGAGATTTTGTGGAGTCGGAGGGGTGAGGAGGGATGGGAGACTGGGGATGACTGACAGGATGGAAACAGGAGGAATCAGGTTGAGGAGAGGGGGACAAGGAAAGCATACTTGGAGAGATGACTGGAGCTAAGGGGCATTTGGGGGTGATGTGAAAACCTATGGCAGTGGAAACTTCCTGGAATCTACCAGAGTGACCCTATTGAGGACTCCTAGTAATGGGGGAAATGGGGTCTGAAATGGCCATCTTCTGTAACCAGACAAGTCTTCCATGTCTGACACTGCCTGGATGGCCAGGAACCTAGGGTAGAAACACACACACACACACACACACACACACACACACACACACACACACACACTCAGGCACACACAAAGTCAATGAAATGATCCCTAATGATATTCTACTATATGCACAGATCTGTACCTAGCATAATCAAGAGAGGCTTCTTCAAGCAGCTTATGGGAGCAGATGTAGAGACCCAAAGCCTAATGTTGGGCAGAGCTCAGGGAACCCCTCAGAACAAGGGTAGGAAGAACTGTAGGATCCAGAGAGGTCAAAGACCCCGGAGAACACAGCCACAGAATCAACTAAGCAGGGCTCATAGTTGCTCAGACTGAGGCAACAGCCACGCGACAGCCATGTATCCCGAATGGGTTATCTAGGTACTCTGCATGCATGTTATGGTTGTTTAGCTTGGCGTTTTCTGTGGGACCCCTAACAGTGGGAGTATGGAGGTGTATCTCACTTTGTGTCTGTTCTTGAGATCCTTTTCCTTCCACTGGTTTTGCTTCGTCCAGACTTGATATGTGAGGATTTGTGTCTTGTTATGCCGCGTTCAGTTGCTATCCCTTAGAGGTCTGCTCTTTTCTGAAGGGAGATGGAAGAGGAGCAAGTAGAACTGGAGGAGAGTGGAGGAGGTGATGAGGGGACTGGGGGGAAGGGAAGGGGGAAACTGCAGTGATGATGTATTGTGTGAAAAAGGAATGAAAAGGAAGAAACGGTTTATAACTCACATTGCAAAAATAGTGACTACTAACCAGGGGGTGGTGGCACACACCTTTAACCCCAGCAGTTGGGAGGCAGAGGCAGGTAAATCTCTGAGTTTGAGGGCAACCTGGTCTACAGAGCTAATTCCAGGACAGTCAGGGCTACTCAAAGAAACCCTGTCTTAAAAAACCAAAAGTGACTGCTTTACACCAACATAAAAGAAAATGAATTGTGACCCTGAACATACCTGAACATGTAGAACTCTCCAGTGGGCCACATAACCTCACTGCTAGGACTGACACACTGCTCATGATTCATGAGTAAATAAGCATACAATCTACGCCGCTATGGCACAGATTCTTCATAAGCATATAAAACGGCAAATGTGGACTGAAGGTGTGGCTGAGTCGGTAGAATGCTCACTAGAGTACCCACAGCAGGGAGTTCAATCCTTAGCATAGCATAAAATGAGGTGGTAGTACAGGCTTGCAACCCTGGCAGGGCAGCAGAAGTTCAAGGTCATCCTCAACTATACAGTTCGTTTGAGCCTAGCCTGAGCTACGTGAAACCCTGCCTCAAAAATAAAATAAGCAGTGCGTTCCAAATACTATTAAGTTGCAACGAATGGCGTGATAAACTAATAAAAGCAATTGCAGAAAGTATAAGTTTGCAATTTTAAACAGAGTACTAAGGCAAGGCAATCAAGGGCAGTTGATGAAAAAACCTGGAGGAAATGCAGAGGGATGGTCCCACTGTCTCTCAGATGTAGGAGCTGGGAAAGGGAAATAAAATGATGCTTGTAAGGTACATGGCACACAGTAGGTGCTGTGCACGTGTGTGAGTGAGTACTCCTTTATTTCTCTGTACTCATTCTACACTGGAACCGGCTGCTTTTAGTAGGGCAGACACAGTAGCTACCATTATTATTGTACAGAGTCAGATACAAGCTTTGTAGGTTCCATCTGTCTAAACTATTCTGCCTTGAAGTGGGAAATAATTACAGTGGGTAAAACATATTTGGGTGTCTCTTTTTGGTTTTTCAAGACAGTGTTTCTCTGTGTATCCCTGGTTGTCCTGGAACTCACTTTATAAACCAGGCTGACCTCGAACTCAGAGATCTGCCTGCCTCTGCCTCCACCATGCACCACTTAAATGTATTTGGGAATGAGGATGCTGTTACAATAAAATAGGGAGAGGCAAGATTTCATTTCTGGACTGTAGTTGCCAGGTCCATTATTCTAGAAGATTCACTGGGATCCAAAAAATAAAACACAAAATCTAGGGTAATTTCCATGTCTTGAGAATTTAAGGCAAAATAAAGTCACATGGAAATCTAGCTCTACTTTCCCATCACTAAAAACAAACCCAACCCCAAACCAAAAATACCAGCACCACTAGCAAAACCAAGCCTAAAAAGCAAGACCATTTAAAGGTGCAACAAAAATATGTTACTGCTGCGTTTCTAGCTGCCTTTTGCTTAATGTTCAAATTGTGTGCCCGATAAAAGATCTCTATTATTCTGATGTCTTACTGTAGGAACCGAAATTAAATGTTCTTTAAATAAGGGCAAATGTGAATGCTGTAGGCTGAGAATTAATAGCTTAAAACTACTTTAAAATCGCTATGTTTAAAAAAAAAAAAAAGGCATCAACAGAGCCACAGCATTCACTTTGGGGAAAAAAATAAATATATGAAACAGAAATAAAGCATGCCAGGGCAAGGGTTTAAATTTTCTCAAAACTTTGTATGTATAAACATGTTACAAAGGCTGGCTAAAGGCTTAATGGTACAGTGTAGTGCTTGTTTAACATGACCAAAGCTTAGGCTGGATGCTCCTGCCGCCCTCCCAGGGGAGAGAGGGGACTCAAACCCCCATTCACCTATTTTTAAACTGATAACAAGGCTGTATACAAGAATATCTAAAAAGCAAAATCTTAGGCCATGATCAAGTCTAGGATGGTATACAAAAGCCGTTTTCTCTCCAAAAATCCATCTAAATTAACTGCAGCTTGATCTGATTCTCTTTTCTCTCCAAGCTTATATCCTGCCATCTCTACTTCTTCTAGTTCTCCCTTGATTAGAGAGGCAAAGGCAGGCAGATTTCTTTGAGTTTGGGTCAGCCTGGTCTACAGAACAAGTTTCAGGACAGCCAGGGAAACCCCTGTCTCAAAAAGCCAAAAACCAAAAGTGAGTTTACCAGGCCAGATTGTGTCATCTGTTTAAACACTAAGATGAAGATGAATGTTCAAAGACAAGTCAGCTCCCTCTTGAGTCTGTGCTCTTGTCCACGACTGGTCAGTTTTTGCTGCCTAATTCAAATAGGGATCTTGCTTTGCTGGACTCTTTATGACCACCTGCGTTCTTTCGGATTTTGGGGCCGAAACAGAGGGAAAAACTTAACAGTACCAAGCATGGGCTGGTGACGTCTACTGGTCTAAGTTTCCAACTAGGGACTGGGGCAAAAAACAAAACAAAACAAAACAAAAAAACCAGCCATGCTGATCCTGTTGAGGCTGTCTCCTGAACACTCAAAATCAGTCCTTTTTCAGACATAAATTTTGGCAATAAAGTCTCATGCCCACGGTCCTGAGCTAGTTTTAGGACTACAGTTGTTCTAGGCTACAGGAGTCTAAGAAACAACCAAAAAGGAAAACACTTCAGTAACAGATCTGGCTGGTAAGATGGCTCAGCAGGAAAAGCCCACATTCTGCCAAACCTGCCAAGCCTGCCCCTCCCAATGACACAGGTGTGGACAGGAAATCGACTCTGGCTTCCACCTGCGCTCGAATACGTAGATGCATGTGTGCTCAAGTGCGCGCGCGCACACCCCCCCCCCCCCAAATAGGTAAGATACAAAATTAAAAACGGAGAAACTTCAAAAGCAGAAACCGGAAAATGTTCCTTTGTGCCTTATAGGTCTCCTGGAGTGGTCATTCCCCATTTCCTGTCCAAAGCACTGATAGCAGGCACATTCCTAGGATAAGGCACCCCATCAGTCCACTGTATGGCTCCTCCCTATCACTGATACACCACCGATTACGTTCTGTGTCCCAACAGACCCACATATACACTCCAGATCTGTGCTTAAACATTAACTTCCTCAGAGCTGCCCTATGTTCCAAGGTGTGTTTAGATCCCATGCTAAGGATCTCCCAGCTTGTATTGCACATAAGAACACAGCTCTCGGTATTGTCTGGAAAAGAGTGTAGTCTTACCTGCTGGCTGCACCGTACACTTGCGCTATGAGAGCAAAAGCCTCTGTCTTCTTTGCCACGTGTTTCAGCTCTTAGACCATTTCTCTAGGGAAATGAGTTTACGAATACACATTAGTTAAGAGTTTTGGTGAGACCTGATTCAGAAATCTTTAAAAAAAAATATTACTAGACATTTATTCAGAATGTTAGATACTTAATGCTTGCAAATGCTACTTAGGTAGAATATTTAACAGATCAAAGCCAAAGAAATAGGTATTTTATGAATATATCACCATCTTAGAGCATTTGCTTTCCTTCCCTAGGTTATCTATCAGATGTTTGACCATTAGGCTATTCTCCACCCAATATGCAACCTTGTGAGAATAGCAAATAAAGTTAAAATAAATAAGGTGACTCATTAAGTTGTTACTCTCCATGTAATCGAAAGTGGCTTGAACTCCTGATCTGTCCCTCCTTTCCGAGATCTGGAATTACAGACATGTGCCACCAAGCACGTTCCAATAACTTCTAATTAGTCAAAATAAGCATCCAAAAGCTTACCGGTCCCCACAGCTAAGGACAAAATCTAATGGCATGGGAAAAAAACTGATGTTTTATTTCTCAAATGGGAATAGAAATACTTCTATCATAGGACAATGCTCAGATGCTGTAAGGAGGGCCGCCATCTTTGGAAGGACCATCTAGGACCCTACCCCAGGCCCCGAAATGATAAAAGTGCTGGCTCCCTGGGAGAGAGGTGAGATTATAGTCCCCCAAATGCTCGGCTTTACCAAGCAATGTGCACTCACTGTAAAAAGGGGTTAGGTTGGAGATGTTGGGAAATAAAGTACCCCAGGATAAACCTTTACGTACGTACGGAAGCCATATTTGCTACAGGAGGAAGCCATATTCACTACAGGAGGAAGCCATATTTACCAGAGAAACCCTCATTCTTTTAATCCCCCTTTGGCTTTTCGAGGCAGGGTGTGGCCCTGGCTGTCCTGGAACTTGCTACATTTGTAGACGAGGCTGGCCTCCAGCTCACACAGATCCGCCTGCCTCTGCCTCCCACGCCCTGGGATTAAAAGCCCGCAGCCCCGCCACTGCCATCCCCCACGCCCGGCCCGAAGCTGCAATTCTCCTAAAATCAGGAGAGGAACGTGGTGGTCAGAGTCCAGGCGCAGAGGAGGCCGGGAATTCTACGGGAAGTCGTTTGCGCGGTCTTGTAACAGCAAAGAAACCACTTCAGGGTTGTTAAAGGAGCGGCAAGCTCCGGCTTAGTTCAGAACAATTAAAAAAAGCAAGAGCTGTCTATCCCATGACAGTGTTCAGGCGCTCAACACACGAAGGGGAAGCCCCGCATCTGTGGCCCTACACCTCCTTCCCTCAGAGAAGACAAGACGGAACCCCACGACTTCACGAGGCAAGCCTTACCCAGGGGCCCCGCGGTAGAACGAGCCAGTGGCGCTCCCGAGGCAGCGGCGGAAACCTAGGCGGCCCGGAGCGCGCGGCCTGCTGCACCGCTCGCTCTTCAGACGGGCTGGCGCGGCCCGGCCACACCCATCCGGGAACCTGCGGAGCTCGGTAGGCTGGAATCCCCGAGGAGAAGCGCTCCACGTGGAAGTGGGCGGGATCGGGCCGAGGGTGCCCGGCTGAGGGCGGGGTCGGCGCGGGAGGGCAGAGGTCAGACGGGAGAGGCCTCTCCGGGATCCCGACGGCCCGGCCTTGAGGCACAGTCGCTTCCCTCTACCTGTGTGTGGACACGTGCCGCCACACAGGTAACCAGGTTGGCAGAGGGTGCAGTTCCTGCCTCCACAAACGCGCTTTGCAGTTTTGGCCCCTCTCCGCCCTGGATCCCAGCCTCCCACGACCCCGCCTTAACTCTTCCATCGTGGGTCCATCAGCCCTCACTCACCACCGACCGCGGTCTAGTGAAATTTAATGGTTCGCGTAAACACACCGGCCCCATTAAAACAAAGACCAAATCAATATTGAAGATCCTCTTACATTTAACCTGAAGCTTTTCGGTAATTTACTTATCAGGGAGGACTCCGTCATTTATTCTCGTTAACGTCCTTTTTTTTTTTTTTTTTTGGAATAAAACTTAATGGTGAGATTGAAAAAGAAAATGTCCTACTGGTGCAAAACTTAAACTACTTGTCTATTTAAGAAGGCTCTGTCGCTAAGTCTCTTTTATTCATCTGAATGGAAGTAGAATAAATCTTCCTTGCTTCCTTTCTTCTCCCAGGCGCATGTCCTTTGAAGTGAGTTTGGGGCTGAAGCAGTAATTAGGAACTGCTTTCCTCCTGGTTTCCTTGGCACCTCTTTGTGGCTTTTTAGAAAATACTTAGGTGAGCCAAGTATGGCGGCGCATGTCTGTTAATCCCAGCGTTCAGGGAGGCAGAGGCAGGCAGATCTCTGTGAGCTCTATAAGGAGTGTCCAGGACAGCCAAGGCTAAACAGAGAAACCCTGTCTCGAAAAAACCAAAAACAACAACAAAACCAACCAAACAAAAAGCAAAAAGAAAGTTCTCAACAAGTTCTCTGACCACGTGTGTGTGTGTGTGTGTGTGTGTGTGTTTTATGATAAAAAATGTTAATAGTCGAAGCCAGCCTGAGTTAAATAGTGAGGCCGTGTTCTCATTTTTTTAACCCCTCTTTGGGTATTGTTTATGGTTGCAAAACAAAGACTACCTCCAGGAGAAAGCAGAAAGCTTTTCTTTTACCTAATCACTCTGAGCCACACCCTTCTGTTATCAGAGACTTAACCTCAGTTGAAAGACACAGGACAAACTAGAATAATGTGTAATCTCTTCCTTAGCAGGGTTTTGTCTGCCCTCTGGTTTATATCACCAGGGTGAGGCCGAGGCTAGGGACTCTAAGGACTGTGTGCCATTCCATTTTTCATACTCCATGTCACACATCCATTAGTTTTGGCCCCATTACAATTTTGCTCTTCTTTCCAAGTCCCTCCCCAGACTCCAAAGTAACACAAAATGAACCAACTCCTCTGCTATCATATCAGCTTTGTTTCAGGGAAATTTTGTTTCTCCAAAATGAGTTAGGTAAGCAGTTCAACCACAAAAGAGAAGAAGGCTGTCTTTGGAAGCACATTAAAATAATAATTTCCCCAGATTTGGTGTGTCATGCTTACAAACCCAGCCCTTTGCATGGCTGAGACTGTAAGATGGTTTTTGAGTTGAGACAAAGCATAGTGAGTTACAGACTACCCTGGGTTTTAAAATGAGACCCCACCACAAGCAAGCACATAAACAGCAACAACAAAACACAAAAATATTTGAATTGCTGAAATTTTATCCATTTTGATACTTCTAACAATAATATTGTGGCCAATTATATATATTCTGGGAGCTGGAGAGATGGCTCAGTGGTTAAAAATAATTGGTTCTCTTCTAGAATCCAGGTTTTATTCCCAGGACCCTGACGGTAGCTCACAACCATCTAGAACTCTAGTTCCACAGGACTCAACTCTGCTTTCTGGCTCTCCCTCTCCCCCAACCAAGCCCATAGGTGGTAAATGTATGCAGGCATATATGCAGGCATCTCGCTTAGATACATAAGATGAAGTTTAAAAAACCTTCCGGCACTTTATGTGTGTTACTAGGCAATATTTTTATTCTAAGTTTAAAAAGCAAGACACTATTCATAGACATTATTCAGTCCACACAGATTTTAGTTTCTCTCCTACACAGGTGTCGTCCAGGCCCTGGGGATATGGTTCCTGGAATTCACTGGCCAAACTTGCAGGGCCAGAATTAGGATAAGAGCAGTAACTTGCTAGCCTTCAGCAAATTTAAGGGCTTCAAGAAGAATTCAGCAATTATTAACAATACTTTCTTAAAAACAGAATTGAAATTGAAGTACAAAAATTCCCAATAAAACATACAAAGGTGAAAGCAAAGTCAGAGGATATGAGACAGTCACCGTGGCAATGCAGTGTGGAAATGTACCTAAAAGGCTAGCACAGTGAACTGAGGTGTTTGCTGCCTTGCGAGCCCAAAATTGGAGAGTCCAGAACTTTTGGGAGGTTTCCTAGGAGCTGTTGTGAACTGAAGGAAGAGTGAGTCTAGAAGCCAGAACGTTCCTGGTGGTAGACTGAAAATTAGTTATACAAGAGTGAGGGAGAAACAGGAAATGTGGAGAAGGAAGGGCTTCAGGCTCAGACCGAGAGCCTTCAGGGTACTTTGATCTCCATTCCAGTAGTGATGGGAATAGGGTATAAAAGAAAATATGAGATAACTGGGTAAGGTTACATGTCTGCAGTTCTTGCACATGAGAGGTAGAAGCAGGAGGAACATAGGTTCAATGTTCAGTCTCATCCTATATGATGAGTTTGAGATCCTGCCTCAAAAAATTGAAAGCACAAATAGGAAAACGACATAGAGAAGGCAGTGAGAAAGGAGAATAAAAACAACAAAATGACATATACATATGGAAACGAGACAATGAAATATCACTTTGTTTTTTGTTTGTTTGGTTGGTTTGGTTTGAGACAGGGTTTCTCTGTGTAGTCCTGGCTGTCCCAGACGCCCTTTGTAGAACAGGCCGGCCTGGGCCTGGAACTCACAGAGATCCACCTGCGGTGTCTCTCTGAGTGCTGTGGTGGCCTGAGCCACCACAAATAGCAGAAATAATACTTTGTATACTAATTTAGAAAAGAAAATATTTATCAGGGGCTGGAGTGATGGCTCAGTGGTTAAGAGCACTGGCTTCTCTCTCAAAGGACACATGTTCAAGTCCCAGCACCCACATGGTACCTTACAACTATCTCTAACCCCAGTTCCAGGGGATATGATATCTTTTCTCAACTCTGTAGACACCAGGCTCACACATGGTACACAGAACATACATAGGAACAAAACACTCAGACATAATGAAGTAAATAAGTAATATAAAAGATATGTATGTATCATATATAAATGCTGATTAACCTTATAATTGCAAAATATTATTGTTAAAACTTAGTTTGTCTCCAATAGTTTTATTGTCTTTGCTAATATTATTTGAAAGTATTAGATGGGATTTCATCTATCAACTACATGGAATTATTTTATTAGTACTCTCTTTATAATTTCATCTGCATTGTAAAATGACGGTCCTGACCCACCGAAACCTCACATCTAGAAACTTCATGTCTAGACTCAAACTAGAAATGAATTGTGGTGGTCTCATGTACCACTTTACATTAAATTATACTATTTTAAAAACCTCCTTGTATGATTTTTTAAAAAATCTGTTGTATTATTTGCTGTTATTAATACCTTTTCCAAACTTGTTTGATCTTGATGGCAACCTTGTGAATCCTTGCTGCTATTTTATGGATGAGAAAATAGAAAGTTATTAATGGTAAATTCTTATTCAAAGCCACAGAAACATTAAGGTAATGGAGGAGATTTTTGATCCCAACTCTTGCTATTCTGACACAAACTTTAAATGTAAAGTTAATTTTTCCAAGTTCAGCCAACTGTTTAAAGAGCTTTCTAGATCCAGTTTCAATTTCCATGAAGGGGAGGGAGAGTTCCACCAGCTTATAATTTATGTTTCTACTGGGAATTTGATAACTTAAAGCATAATTTCTAAGAGTGGAGTGAGGAACATTTATCTTTAGGTTTCACTCCTTTACTATTATTTTTAATCTAAATCGAAAATGTTTGGTATTTCACTCTGAGACAAATGAAACTTCTCCTTACATGGTCCTATCTTTTCAAAAAATTTTAATGCTCTTTAGGTGAACAGTATAGGCATAAGCATTATTATATTTCATTTTCTTCTGGAGAATTCAGCAATGGCCTAAGTACAGGGACTAGAGGCTCCTCTTTAGATATCAGATGCTTTAACAGTGCTAAGGATGATTTCTTACTGTTATTTATTTATTTATTGTTGCTTTTTTTTTTTTTTTTTTTGGTTTTTTGAGATAAGGTTTCTCTGTGTAGCCTTGGCTGTCCTGGTCTTGCTTTATAGACCAGGCTGGCTGGCATTGGATTCACAGGATTCACCTGCCTCTGCCTTCCTGAGTACTGGGATTATAGGCCTATGCCATCCTGCCCAGCTTTTCTTACTGTTATTGTTTTTGGCAGTTTCATGCAATAGTTTTTATGAACTTGTAATATGTCTGAATGTTTGTGCTCTTCCACTGCTTAAGTATTGAAATATAAACCTCGGGGTCTGTGGAAGTGGCTCATTTGTCAAAGGGCAAATGAGCAAATGAGTTTTGAATCAAGCTCAAATAGAATGGTCTTTCAAATATTATTATTTTATTTCGGCATGCTGTTAAATTAGTGCATGGATTGAAAAGCTATCATATGGAGTTTCCATACACACTTTATGTAGCTTCCCTTAAATTTAATATACCATCTAGTCCGTTTCCATTTACTGTAAGAATTCTGCAATGGCATAATGCTACTAACCAAACTCTAGACTTTCTTGGATTGAAGCAGCTTTTCCACGAACGTACCTTTAATCTGTTCCAGGATCCAATTCAGGATGCCATTTTACATTCAGGACAAAGTTAAAATGCAGACATCCAGTTCCACCACCATCAAATTTCAGT